ACAGACAAATAGGACATTAAACTGAAAGGCTTCTTTTTTTTTTTTTTTTTTTTTTTGAGACGAAGTCTCGCTCTGTCGCCCAGGCTGGAGTGCAGTGGCGCAATCTTGGCTCACTGCAAGCTCCGCCTCCCGGGTTCACGCCATTCTCCTGCCTCAGCCTCCCGAGTAGCTGGGACTACAGGCGCCCGCCACCATGCCGGGCTAGTTTTTTTGTATTTTTTAGTAGAGACGGGGTTTCACCGGGTTAGCCAGGATGGTCTCGATCTCCTGACCTCGTGATCCGCCCGTCTCGGCCTCCCAAAGTGCTGGGATTACAGGCTTGAGCCACCGCGCCCGGCAAGGCTTCTTAAAATTTGTTTTTTAGATAAGGGCCCCTCTGTCACCCAGGCTGGAGTGCAGCAGTGTGATTATGGCTCACAGCAGCCTCGACCTAATGGGATCAAGTGATCTTCCTAGCGTCCCAAGATGGGACTACATGCACTCTCCACCATGTCTGGCTAATTTTTATATATTTTTTGTGGAAATGGATCTTGCTATGTTTCTCACGCTGGTCTGAAACTGCTGGGCTCAATGATCCTCCTGCCATGGCTTCCCTTAATGCTGAAATTATAGGCTAAAAAGCTTCTCCATAGCAAAACAATCAACAGCATGAAGAAGACAACCTCTTAAACTGGACAAAATATTTACAATCTACTCATCTAATATGAGACTAATATCCAGAGTATGCAAAGAACTCAAACAACACAACATTAAAATATAACCCCATTAAAAGATAGGCAAGGGACATGAATAGACATTTCTCAAAAGACAAAGAAATGGCCAACAAGTATATGATACTCAACATCATTAATCATCAGGGATGTGCAAATCAAAACCACAATGAGGAATGGCTGTTAAGAATAAAAAATGTAACAGACATTGGTGACAATGTGGAGAAAGGAGAACCCTTCTACATTGTTGGTGGAAGTGTAGGTAAGTATAGCCACTATAGAAAACAGTTGGGGATTTCTCAGGCCGGGAGCGGGGGCTCTCGCCAGTACTTTGGGAGGCCGAGGCGGGCAGATCACGAGGTCAGGGGATCGAGACCATCCTGGCTAATATGGTGAAACCCCGTTTCTACTAAAAATACAAAAAACTAGCCAGGCGTGGTGGCGGGTGCCTGTAGTTCCAGCTACTCAGAAGCTGAGGCAGGAGAACGGCGTGAACCCGGGAGATGGAGCTTGCAGTTGGGCGTGAACCCGGGAGATGAGCTTGCAGTGAGCTGAGGATCTGCGCCACTGCACTCCAGCCTGGTGACACACACCTCTGTCTCAAAAAAAAAAAAAAAAAAAAAGCCTGGGTGACACAGCGAGACTCTGTCTAAAAAAAAAAAAAAAAAAAACCAAAAAAACCCAAAAAATTAGCCCGGCGTGGTGGCAGGCACCTGTAGTCACAGCTACTCAGGATGGTGAGGCAGGAGAATGGTGTGAACCTGGGAGGCAGAGCTTGCAGTGAGCTCTCGAGATCACGTCACTGCTCTACAGCCTAGGTGACAGAGCAAGACTCCATCTAAAAAACAACAAAACAGTCGGGGATTTCTCAAAAAACTAAAAATAGAGCTACCATACAATCCCAAAACCCCAATGTTGGTAGTTATGGAAAAGAAATCAATACAACAAAGGGATACATGCACTCCCGTGTTTACTGCAGCACTATTCACAACAGTAAACATATGAAATCAACCTAAGTGCCCATCAAAGGATGAATGCTATATATATACAACGTATATGGCCATAAAAAAGAATGAGATCACATCATTTCCAGCAATATGGATGGAGCTGAGGTCAATATGTTAAGTAAAATCTAAGTCAGGCAGAGACAGATAAGTATTTTTCAAAATAGCCAGAAGACCTGAAATGTACCCAACACATATATATGATAAATACCTGGGTATGGATACTACTGATTTGATGATTATATATTCTATGCATTTAACAAAATTTCACATGTACCCCATGAATACGTATAAATATAATGGATTAAGAAAAAAAAAAAAAAAGAAGGAAAAGAAAAAAAACCCTTAAAGGTAAAGTTGGCTAACTTGGATAAATTTTGTTTTTCTTGAGACGGAATCTCATTCTGTTGCCCAGGCTGTAGTACAGTGGCACTATCTCAGCTCACTCAACTTCTGCCTCCTGGGTTCAAGCGACTCTTCTGCCTCAGCATCCCGAATAGCTTGAGCTACAGGTGTGTGCCACCATGCCCAGTTAATTTTTGTATTTTGAGATGGGGTTTCACTCAGTTGGCCAGGCTGGTCTCCAACTCCTGACCTCAGGTGATCCATCTGCCTCAGCTTCCCAAAGTGCTGGGATTACAGGTGTGAGCCACTGAGCTCAGCTGAAATTTTCTAATCTTGTCTTTAGGAGCAGTTTTGACAGTGGGAGAATACACTGATGAGTGGTAAGAAGGAAACAGCAGGTAGGTATTTAAATGTTCTTATTCTGAAATGCAATTCTGTAAAAAGTATTTTAAGAGTTAATGGATAAAAAACTAGAAAACACTCTAGAGGTTGCAGTGGATGGAGATCATGCCACTGCACTCCAGCCTGGGCGATAGGGAGAAACCCTATCTCAAGAAAAAAAAAATTCCCCCAGAAATAATACATGGTAATAACAACGATAACTAACAATTATTGGGTACTTATGTGGCCAACTCAGTTCTATGTGCAGTAGATGTATTACCTTATCAATCCTACATTTCTACATCAATCCTATTTCTACCTCAATCCTACAAACAAAAAGTAGTATTATCACTGTTCTACAGATGACAAAACTGAATCATAGAGAAAGAATTTAAGAAACTTAGTCAAGGTCACATAGCTGGTCAGTGGAGGAACAAGGATTTGAAAGCCTAACTCAGGCAGTCTGGGTGTAATTGACCTTCTCCCTTAATTACCATATAGTTGTGTTGTGGCTATCATGGATTAAGAAAACACATAATGATCAAATATACAAAGAAGACTACTGTGAACTCAGTAATACTTAAATGAAACAGTACATTATAAAACGAAATGGCATTTGTGTACATCATTCTAGCTTCATAGATTGTAATTAAATAACAAAATGATACGGCGTGACATGCATATGGATTTAAAGACCCCTTGTAATAACTCTCTGGGAGTCCCTCAGTAGTCCACAGCTCACAAGTAGGGAGCCACTGATGAGAAAATAAGATAATATATAACCACGCTGGGCAAAGTGGCTCACGCCTGTAATTTCAGCATTTTGGGAGGACGAGGCAGGTGGATCACGAGGTCAGGAGATTGAGACCATTCTGGCTAATGCGGTGAAACCCCGTCTCTACTAAAAGCACAAAAAATTAACCAGGCGTGGTGGTGGGTGCCTGTAGTCCCAGCTACTTGGGAGGCTGAAGCAGGAGAACGGCATGAACCCAGGAGGCGGAGCTTACAGTGAGATGAGATTGTGCCACTGCACTCTAGCCTGGGCGACAGGGCAAGACTGTCTCAAAAATAAATAAATAAATATATAACCAAAGGATATTATGCAAAAGCAGTGAATACAGTATTGCAGAGCTCTAACATGCAAAAGAAACGTTACAGAAGCTTGGCCTAAGGTGGAGAATGAAAAAGCATTTGTTAGCATTAAGGGAGTGGAAATAATAAGCAACTCAGTTTTTTTTTTTTTTTGAGATGGAGTCTTACTCTGTTGCCCAGGCTGGAGTACAGTGGCTCAATCTCAACACATTGCAACCTCTGCCTCCTGGGTTCAAGCAAACTTCGTGCCTCAGCCTCCTGAGTAGCTGGGATTTCAGGTGTGGGCAATCACGCCCAGCTAAACGTATTTTTAGTAGAGACCGGGTTTCACCATGCTGGCCAGGCTGATCTCAAACTCCTAACCTCAAGTGATCCTCCCACCTTGGCCTCCCAAAGTGCTGGGATTACAGGTGTGAGCCACTGCGTCCGGCCTGCAACTCAGGTTTTTAAACAGGGAATAAAAATAATATTTTGTTATTTGGCAGGATTATATAAGACTAAAAAGAGAAAGAGAACCCAGTTAGGTTTTTATTGAAATAGGTTAAGTATTTGATGTGTTTAACATAAAGCCATAGAAATGGAGAGAAAAGAGATAAACTGGAACAATATCTTATAGCTATGATAGGTCTCTGGTGGCTGATGCATATAGAGAATAAAGGAAATAGAAAAGTTAAAGTGTCTCTAAAGTCAAAAGGTATGAAAAACTGTGGTGCCACTGGTCTAACCAAGGGAAGCAATTTGGTTGAGTTTGATGAGATGGTAAGTGACATGTGTGAGAGGGAAACACAACTGTGAGATCTGGGTCAGTAGTTATGTCCAGGGATATGAATCTATCTATAGATTATTTACTGCACACTAAAATCACTGAAGTCCTGAGCATGGCCAGGTTTTCTCAGGAGGCTGGGGAAGAGCAGACAGAGAATGAAGTAACAATCATAATTAGAAAATATGGGCTGGGCGTGGTGGCTCATGCCTGTAATCCCAGCACTTTGGGAGGCCAAAGTGGGTGGATCATGAGGTCAAGAGAGCAAGACCATCTTGGCCAACATGGTGAAATCCCGTCTCTACTAAAAATACAAAAATTAGCTGGGCATGGTGGCGTGCTCCTGTAGTCCCAGCTACTTGCGAGGCTGAGGCAGGAGAATCGCCTGAACCCAGGAGGCAGAGGTTACAGTGAGCCAAGATCACACCACTGCACTCCAGCCTGGCGACAGAGTGAGTCCATCTCAGAAAAAGAAAAGAAAAAAGAAAGAAAATACGTGGGAAGAAAGAGTAGAATAATTTCAGAACAGAAAGAGACCTAGAGGTAATTAACCCACTCTTTTTTACAGTGAATCAGATAGGTAAAAACAACCATGGCAGAGAGAAAGTAGAAGAACAGGGACAGAAAGCCAGACAGCCTCCAGCAGACTGACAATCCTCATGGAAGTTTTATTTCTCTTTAGACATTTCCCAACTTAATAATTACCTTAATAATATCATCAGTTCCTTCAGTAACAGGTTTTGATTTGAGTTCTTCAATTTCTTTCTCCAATTCTAAACAATTAAAAAATAAAGGACTCCGGTTCAGAAATAAAGAACATAATTACTGGGAAACTGATAAGTACATTCTTACAAAACCCCCCCAAATCTGCAAATTAGAATATATGTAAGCAGAATAGTATGATTAATCTCTGCACTCAACACTATGCTTCAACATTATTACATGGCCAATTTTGTTTCCTCCCAATCTGTATTCACTTCCTCCTTCACTGCTCTTATCCATCTGATAATTTTCTTTTTTTTTTTTTTTTTTTTGAGACGGAGTCTCTCTCTGTCGCCCAGGCTGGAGTGCAGTGGCGCAATCTCGGCTCACTGCAAGCTCCGCCTCCCGGGTTCACGCCGTTCTCCTGCCTCAGCCTCCCGAGTAGCTGGGACTACAGGCGCCCGCCACTGTGCCCGGCTAATTTTTTCTATTTTTAGTAGAGACGGGGTTTCACCATGGTCTCGATCTCCTGACCATACTCCAGACCTCATATTATTTCACCTGTAAGTACATATAACCTTAAAAGCAACACTTGCATATTAAGAATAAACGTTATTGAGAACGGCCTGGCCAACATGGTGAAATCTTGTCTTTACTAAAAATACAAAAATTAGCCAGGCATGGTGGTGGCCGCCTGCAGTCCCAGTTACTCGGGAGGACTTGGCAGGCTGAGGCAGGAGAATCGCTTGAACCCAGGAAGGGGAGGTTGCAGTGAGCCGAGATTGCGCCCCTGCACTCCAGCCTAGCCAACAAGAGCAACACTGTCTCAAAAAAAAAAAAAAAAAAAAAAAGAAGAAGAAACAAAACGTTAATTGAAGTGTTTCACTAGCAAATGCCTAGATCTCAGGCCTAGAACTTCTTTCCAAATAAATTATTCTCTTTATTGCAAAGTGATCCAAACTCCCAAGACATAATTTTATCTTTTCTAATAGAAAATAAGTCTCGGCTTTTAGGCTAAGCAGTTAATATTTGTAAGTCACTGGAAATTCAAGAGCTCATGTACATATACTAAGAAAAAGATCTAAGATCTTTTTCCTTCTGGAATAAAAAGAAAACTGAATAGGGAATCAATCAACTTCAGCAGATAAATACACTTTAATGTCTATCAATGGAAATCTTTTATTATTTTAATTGAGGAAGCGTTCCATCTCTTTGGGCTTATCTTCTGTCTCTAACATTTCAACTGACTTCTCTTGAAAAAAAGCTTTACTCAGAAGAATCTAAAGTCTACATGAAGGAAAAACACACTTAACTTGCACAAACTATAAAAATCCTCCTCCCTGACTTTAACAACTCAAAAGTCACTGTGGTTTAGAGACGTGGGAATAATTTAGAAATCAGAGGTAAATTTTTAGAATGTTAAATAACAGATTCTACTACACTAAAGTGTACTTGGAATCACTGGAAAACAAAAACAAGCCAATGCATTATTTTTAAAACTACCATTTTAAACCACGATTAAACAGACTGTGATCAAGAAGAATATTTTCAACCCAATACCTGTACACCTTGACTTAGCTTTCTGTATTAGCATCATCTGTTTCTTGGCAAACTTGATGAGGTCTTCTTTGGGCAATGTTTCCAGCTGAAAGATGTGGTCATGTTACCAACTAGTTATAACTCATGTTTCTAGTATACCACAAAAAACAAACAATGTCTGCCAGAAAACAAAAACATGCTACAGAATAAATCTTTATGCCAACAGCATACTTGGTTTCACGTTTTTTTTTTTTTGTTTTTTTGTTTTTTTTTTGAGACAGCGTCTCGCTCTATTGCCCAGGCCGGAGTGCAATGACACGATTTTGGCTCACTGCAACCTCTGCCTCCCAGGTTCAAGCAATTCTCCTGCCTCAGCCTCCCAAATAGCTGGGACCACAGGCGCCCGCTACCACGCCCGGCTAACTTTTGTATTCTGAGTAGAAACGGGGTTTCACCATGTTGGCCAGGCTGGTCTCAAACTCCTGACCTCAGGTGATCCACCCGCCTTGGCCTCCCAAAGTGTTGGGATTACAGGCGTGAGCCACCGCGCCCGGCCACATCTTTTAAAATAAGCAAATGCAACATCAACTCTGTAATTGCTATGCAAGTACTAAAAATTAGTTATGCAACTATTATGAAACGCAAATACCAGGGCATATCCTCTTATAGCTAATGTTACAGGTTGACATTGCTAGCTTTTGATTTAATTGTAAAATTAGTGGGTTGGAGCTAATGCTACTTAAAATTCCTTGGAGCTGTAAAAGTATTTCATTCTATTTAAGGCTGAAAGTGTCACAAGAAAATATAAGCATAATTACAGCAGCAAGATGAACCAGGTGACATTCAGGCTTTAATTAAAAAATTAAGCTTTACCACTTGAAAAAATTACTTAAGCCTGTAGTCTCAGGTTTAAGCTTTACCACTTGAGAAAATTACTTAAGCCTGTGGTCTCAGGTTTCTCAACAACAGTACCTATCTCACGGTTATCATGAAGCTTAAATGAAGTAACTGAGTGGTTAGGCAAGTGCCTGAAATTTAGCATGCAAGCAATAAACCTTAGCAATAAACCACTATCGTTTAGAATGATTAAATGTTAAACACTGTACAAGGCCATAAAACTGGACTAATTCAACTCTTTGACAATGTAAAAACTGGAGCCCACAGATCAGAATCCCTTGATCCCTACCCTATGTCACTGCTCCTTCCACTACATCACTATATAAACCTTCTTAAATTAGACTGCTTTGTTTCATGTTCGAAAAATCGCAGGATCTCCCAGCAGTGCTAACCAGGAGCAGGAAGTAAACAAAAAGTCTTTTTATATCGGGGTGGGCGGGGGAGAAAGAAACAGGAAATGGATTGGTGACTGCGTAAACTAAAATTGAGATCCCTTGGGGCAAGGATATTAAAAAAATAAATTTTATATATATATATGGCGCCCCCCTTCTTCATGCCAAAGTTTTCCAATTCATCACCCTTCCAGTCTTCAGGAAGCCCGCTATTCAAGTATCCTCTTCACCTTAGATTTCCCGGTCCCAGGGGTAGCTGGTGAAGCCACCCCATCTTGAACAGGATCCTGCAAAACAAAATCAAACGCAGGTGTCAGAAGAACTCTTTTCCTAATCCCACACGGAACGCGTGGAACCTATTCAGGGAAAAACCTTCTATGGAATCAAGTGGTGGAAAGCCTTGTGAGACAGAGAACGAGGGCGGACGGAGGCGGTCGCTCTGGCAAATCGTATACAAACGGGCTCTATGGGGACAGGTAACCGCCAGGGATGGAGTTTAGGGAAGATGTGGCAGGCGACGGCAGAGCGGGCTTTGGAGCACCCTCCGCGCCCTCCCACCGGGCCCACCCCCACATCCCAAGTCGCTGCGCGGAAGGCTTGATGGGAGGCAGTGGGCCCGACCTGAGTTACCTCCATCGCCGCCTGCCTGCCGCTGGCCCGCAACCAGGCGCCGCCACCGCTGCACTTCTATTTGCGCCAGCCTCTGACGTACGCTCGACAGCAGGTCAAAGGTCGCGCTCTCCGGGCGGCCCGCCCCCCGCGTCTCCATAGCTACGGCTCGGCAGCACTTCCGCTTACGCCTCTGTGTCCGGGTTAAGGTTCCCCGCGCTGCGCCGAGGGCGGAGTCGGTGTAGACGTTCTACCTGGGGCTCGACCCCTGGGCCTGCGGGTCACAGGGTAGGTGTGGGTCCCGCCACCGCCGGTTATTGGCATGGGAACGCGGGCCGATTACCCCTTGGGGCCTCGGTTTCCACGTCTGTAAAATCTTCTGAGAGTGAGGAGAGCATTGGATTGGAGTACAGGTCCCTCAGGCCCCGAAGGTGTCTACTAGCCTGCGAATGCCTGCGGGACCCACAGTTGCTTCCGGGGGTGGCTCCTTAGGCATATGTGGCCAGCATGGTGCCCGGGAGCTCTGTGACTCAGAGGTCAGTGATGAGGTGGAGGACTTCCCTGAGGAGGCGTTCCTTGACTCTGGAGACTGTGAGGAGGTCCCGGGACAGCTCTGCCCTGTAGCCGCCCAGTACTGATGGTGATGTGGTAGAGGCAAGATAGTCTGCCAGGGAGCTGGGCAGCCGTGGGAGGAGACTCTGTAGAATAGGGGGCACGAGGCCACCCTTTCTCCGAGGGCACGCCGAAGAATCTGTGGTCGAATCCCAGAGCTGCTGCAGTGTCCTGATTGGCGGTCCAGTGCTCTGAGAGCCTTTCTGTTAACTGCTCAAGTGGTTTGCTGCACTTTTACCTTTCCATTCATGTTTTCCATACACTCCCATAACTAAGGTAACCTGAAGATAACCCAGTTTCCTGTAGTTTAAATGGCCAAAAGGATGAAGAGGCAGCATACAGTATGTAGCTAGTAAATGGTAGCTGCTTATTACTGGGTAAAAGAAGTGTTATTGTGGACATCTACTCTTTGTCTTTGACAGGGCGTATCACCCATAGTGTTTGACTAGGATTGGTTCAGGGGTGGTGTGTGAACTAAGATGTACAGTCAGAAATTTTGAGACTTCTATTTAGTATTTTGGTTTAGTGATAATATTTTCTCTTTCTTTGGACGTGATTGAAGAAACATACAGCCCTGATTGCTGTTGGCAGACAGCTGCCGCTATGGTAGAAAGCAGCCTAAGGACAAAATTGTTAAGAGGAAAAAAGCAGAGCCGAGGCAGCTCCGGAGGAATGAAACTGGAGCTTTGATAGGTTATCAGTGAGTCGGTAAATTCCCTTTAAGTGATCCAGTTAACACTGGGGTTTGCTGTTACTTGTAACAGTGTACACATCAATTGGGAGGAAGAGTTTTCCAACTTGAAGAAAAAAATCTCTCTTAATGAGATGACTAGAGAAAATGTCCATAAATCAGGACATTGTGCAGTGGTATAAAATGGGCAACTTTCCTACTGGAGTAGAAAAATTACCGCAGACAGTATTTGAAGAAAAGATCTAAGAGCCACCAACATTTTATGGCAGCACATGCTATTAAAGAAGCATTCTTCTTGAAAACCAGCACAAGGTTGAGTGCGGTGGCTCATGCCTGTAATCCCAGCACTTTGGGAGGCCAAGGCGGGCAGATCACTTGAGACCAGGAGTTTGAGACCATCCTGGCCAACATGGTGAAACCCCGTCTCTACTAAAAATACAAAAATTAGCTGGTCGTGGTGGTGCGTGCCTGTAGTTGTAGCTACTTAGGAGGCTGAGGCAGGAGAATCTGTTGAACCTGAGAGGCGGAGGTTGTGTGGAGGTTGTAGTGAGTTGAGATTGTGCCGCTGCTCTCCAGCTGGGGTGACACAGTGAGACTCCATCTCAAAAAAAAAAAAAAAAAAAAAAAAAACTGGCACAAGACAAGGATGCCCTCTCAGCACTCCTATTCAACATAGTATTGAAGGTTCTGGCCACAGCAATCAGGAAGGAGAAATAAAGGGCATTCAAATAGGAAGAGAGGAAACCAAACTCCCTGTTTGCAGATGTCGTGATCCTATATCTAGAAAACCCCATTGTCTCAGCCCAAAAGCTTCTTAAGCTGATACGCAAGTTCAGCAGTCTCATGATACACAATCAATGTGCAGAAATTGCTAGCATTCCTATACATTGACAACAGTCAAGCTGAGAGCCAAATCACAAGAGAACTCATTCACAATTGCCACAAAAAGAATAAAGTACCTAGAAATACAGCTAACAAGGGAAGGGAAAGAGCTCTACAAATAAATCAGATGACACAAACAAATGAAAAAATATTCCATGCTCATGGATAGGAAGAATCAATATCATTGAAATGGACACACTGCCCAAAGCAGTTTATAGATTCAATACTATTCCTATCAAACTACCACTTACTTTATTTGCAGAATTAGAGATGTACCATATGACCCAGCCATCCCATTACTGGGTATATACCCAAAGGATTATAAATTATGCTGCTATAAGGACACATGCACACATATGTTTATTGCAGCACTATTCACAATAGCAAAGACTTGGAATCAACCCAAATGTCCATCAGTGACAGATTGGATTAAGAAAATGTGGCACATATACACCATGGAATACTATGCAGCCATAAAAAAGGATGAGTTTGTGTCCTTTGTAGGGACATGGATGCAGCTGGAAACCATCATTCTTAGCAAACTATCACAAGAACAGAAAACCAAACACCGCATGTTCTCACTCGTAGGTGGGAACTGAACAATGAGATCACTTGGACTCGGGAAGGGGAACATCACACACCGGGGCCTATCATGGGGAGGGGGGAGGGGGGAGGGATTGCATTGGGAGTTATACCTGATGTAAATGACGAGTTGATGGGTGCAGCACACCAACATGGCACAAGTATACATATGTAGCAAACCTGCACGTTGTGCACATGTACCCTACAACTTGAAGTTTAATAATAAATAAATAAAAAAAAAAAAAAAAAGAAAAAGCTATTTTAAAATTCATGTGGAACTTGCTGGGCGTGGTGGCTCACACCTGTAATCCCAGCACTTTGGGAAGCCAAGGCGGGTGGATCACAAGGTCAGGAGATCCAGATCATCCTGGCTAACACAGTGAAACCCTGTGTCTACTAAAAATACAAAAATAAAATTAGCCAGGCATGGTGGTGGGCGCCTGTAGTCCCCACTACTCGGGAGGCTGAGGCAGGAGAATGGCGTGAACCCAGGAGGCAGAGCTTACAGTGAGCTGAGATCGCGCCACTGTACTCCAGCCTGGGTGACAGAGCAAGACTCCATCTCAAAAAAATAAATAAATAAAAATAAAATTCATGTAGAACTAAAAAGAGCCCAAATAGCCAAGGCAGTCCTAAGCAAAAAGAACAAAGCTGGAGGCATCATGGTACCTGACTTCAAACTATATTGCAGGGCTACAGTAACCAAAACAGCATGGCACTGGTACAAGAGCATATACATTGACCAATGGAACAGAATAAACAACCCAGAAATAAGACTGTATACCTACAACCATCTGATCTTCAACAAACCTGATGGAAACAAGCAATGGGGAAAGGATTCCCTATTCAGTAAATGGTGCTGAGATAACTGGCTAGCCATATGCAGAAAATTGAAACTGGACCCCTTTCTTACACTATATAGAAAAACTAACTCAAGATGGATTAAAGACTTAAATGTAAAACCCAAAACTATAGAAATCCTGGAAGACAATCTAGGCAATACCGTTCAGGATATAGGCATGGGCAAAGATTTCATGACAAAGCAATTGCAACAAAAGCAAAAATTGACAAGTGGGATCTAATTAAACTAAAGAGCTTCTCACAGCAAAATAAACTATCAGAGTAAACAACCTACAGAATGGGAGAAAATTTTTGCAAACTATGACAAAGGTCTAATAGCCAACACCTATGAAAAACTTAAATTTATTTATTTTTTTATTATACTTTAAGTTCTAGGGTACATGTGCACAATGTACAGGTTTGTTACATATGCATACATGTGCCATGTTGGTGTGCTGCACCCATTAACTCGTCATTTACATTAGGTATATCTAAATCCACATGTTCTCACTCATAGGTGGGAATTGAACAATGAGATCACTTGGACACAGGAAGGGGGTCATCACACACCGGGTCCTATGGTGGGGGCGGGGCAGGGAGGGATACCATTAAGAAACTTAAATTTACAAGAAAAAAATCTATTGAAAAGTTGGCAAAAGACATGAACAGACACTTCTCCAAAGAAGACATACATGTGGCCAACAAACATGAAAAAAAGCTCAACATCACTGATCATTAGAGAAATGCAAATCAAAATCACAATGAGATACCATCTTATGCCAGTCAGAATGACCATTATTAAAAAGTAAAAAAAAAAATAACAGATGCTGGCAAGGTTGTGGAGAAAAAGGAATGCTTATACACTGTTGGTGGGTGTGTAAATTAGTTCAACCATTATGGAAGACAGTGTGGCAGTATGGTGATTCCTCAAAGATCTAAAAACAGAAATACCATTTGACCAGCAATCGCCTTATTGTGTATATACCCAAAGCAGTATAAATCATTCTCTTATAAAGACACATGCACATATATGTTCACTGCAGCACTATTTAAAATATCAAAGACATGGAATCAACCTAACTGCCCATCAATGATAGACTGGATAAAGAAAACGTAGTACATACACACCATGGAATACTATGCAGTTATTAAAAGAAACAAGATCATGTCCTTTGCAGGAACATGAATGAGGCTGGAGGCCATTACCCTCAGAAAACTAATGCAGGAACAGAAAACCAATACCACATGTTCTCACTTATAAGTGGGAGCTAAATGATGAGAACAAATTGACACATAGTGGGGAACAACACACAGTGGGGCCTAATGGAGGGGTTGGAGGGTGGGAGAAGGGAGAGGATCAGAAAAAATAACTAATAGATACTAGGCTTAATACCTGGGTGATGAAGTAATTGGTACAACCACCAATTACATGACACATGCTTACCTATGTAACCTGCATGTCATGCACATGTACCCCTGAACTTAAAAGTTAAAAAAAAAGTGGATAAATGATTTCACAGACAGCATTGTTAGAACTGGAAGACTTTGAGCAGCGTTTGAGAAAAGAGGAATTCCTACATCAAGTATAATACATTGCCTTTTATATAGCAGGCATTCCATGAATGCTTAATTGAATCCATTAATGTATTAAAGGATCAAGGAACAGAACATAAGATCACTAGTCAGTTTTTTCCCAGGTTTTGAATAAGCTTGAAGCTAAAACTTTGGAGTTATTTGTTCTATCTGTTGATACAAGTGATGTTATAGCATTTTTTTTTTTCCTTTCTGGTATGAAATCCAGTCTGGGATCAGGTGTTACATTTGTCACGTCTCTTCAGACTCCTTTAATCTGGAGCACACAGTTTTTCTTGGGGTTTTGTAAAATTAACATTTTCAAGACTGTAATTCTCCCCATCTTTTTTTTTTTCAGTTAACATAGAATGGATTTTCCTTTTGGCATGCAGTTCTTTGAATTTTAATACACATATAGACATGTAACCATCAGCACAATCAAGTTACAGAAAAGCACTATTATCTTTCAAACTCCCTTATACTTGTCTGTCTTAGCCACACTCTCCTTCCATCCCTAATTCCTGGCAACACCATGATCTGTTTTTCATCACTA